TCAAGAGGAACACATTAAAGAAACAAAGAGAAAATCAACATAGCTAGACCATGGGGTAAAACAATGAGGAAGGGAAGGAGAGAAATTCAGAAAATAAAGGCAAACTGAGATATACTTTGTATGTCTTGAGAAGTTGAGAGACTATCCGGATACACAGCATTGTATTATACAATCTGGAAATCATCATGGTCAAATACCCACATTTTCAAAAGCCCCAAAAGATCACTCTGGTTGTAGCACAGAGGACCAAAGAGAAAAGTATTACAGGAGAATGCTTAACAGAGCCAGGGAAAGATGAAGGAATTGACTGAACCAAAACAGTGGCCAGAAGAATAGATGGGAGGAAAAGATTTGAGAGGCTTTTCTGAACTTACATAGACATTATTTCCTATCAGATGGAGAAGAAAGAGCTAAAGAGGATTCTCCCCTTTCTCATTTGGGAGACCTTGGAACAGATAAGAATTTTACCTCAGTCAGGAAATACAGCAGGAGAAGCAAGCTCAGAATGCAAAGATAAAACTTTATTCTGTTGTGTCTACGCTGAATGTCAGGTGTTTGGGGAAAGAGAAGTGTAGTTCTCAATTGTTTATTTAATAGAGAAACCCAAATGAAACAACTCTGAAAATCTGAAATCACAAACAGTAGTAATATTTTTAACAACCAAGATATGACACACCTATAAAATGTAATGTATTTTGAAACCAGAGTAAGATGTAAAATGAGTGCATTCTTAGGGATTCATCAGAAACCAGTACGAGATCTCTCCCTTTCATGTTTCAGATGTCCACTGCCTGGGGCAAGCCCAGTTCTCCCGTTAATGACAAGCACCTTTGGAAAGGTGAAGGCCTACAGACAAAACTTCGAAAAAAATAAATGTCTAGTCTTCCAGCCCCAAGATTTCTCTTGGTCCACTCCAGGCCTGGGCAAGCCTATCAGTTTCAACCTCTTGCTGGGTTACCCCCTAGTGAAAGATTCCAAAAACTGAATAAGAGTTCTACTACCCATGTCTTTGCAAAAGCAGGGATTGTGAACAATATAATGCACATATTAGATCAGAGGGTCAAATTAAGCCTTCCTCACCCTAAAGAGTGTAGTGTACACATTTGGGATACAGGAGGGGATGGTTGATTCAGAGCACACACCACAGATCATAGAGCCCCAGCATCTGATGTACAGTGAAATATTTAATGAATAAATAAGGTGACGCTGTGGCACATGACCTTGTTTCTCCACCCAGACTTAAAGCAGACATTTTCTGGTTTATTTGAGCCAAAAGACATGCTTTACCAGAATATCCAGAATAAACTCGCTTCCTAAAAATAATATACTGGCTTCAGAAAGAGTTCATGGATACCAAAAATATTATCCGTAAATTTAAATGATAAGATTATGGATTATTTTATTTCTTCCGGGGACAGGTCTCTGTATTTTCTAAGTTCTCTACTGATGAATACCAACAACACTAAAGTGATTAGGCTTAGGTGCCGGGATTATGATTTCATATCTTTGGGGAGATGTCTGTCTATCCTGAGTATCACGGCAGAGCTCATCATATAGGTGATCAATAAGCCTTTGGTAAGAAAGGGAGGAGGAAAAAATTTATCAGCTGGAAGGATTTTAGCTGAGCATTGCTTTCAAGTTTATTTTATGATGTGCTTGAGGAGGTGATTAAGATTGTGCATTTTCTTTCTCAGCATGCCAGGGCATCATCATTGCCAGTTTGTGTGATACATGGTAGTAAAAGCAGAGAAGTTAGTTCAGGCTGTTCTTTTGAATGCTTTCACCTGGTGACTTCTTAGAACTGAAGGTCTCTTAGAGATTCATCAGGTTAACTCTTCAATGGCTGATGACTCTTTTAAAGTGATATAAGCAAGACCTTCAAACACAAAAATATAAGCAACTTAAAGGTGCAGGAGGATGGAGTGGAAAATAGAGAATGAATTGTTCCAAGAACTGCAGATATTCAGATGCCAACTGGATTCGCACCTTCGGAATGACATGAGCAGTGACCAACCCTGATCCCCGCCACTGCTGAGCTATTCTGCAGAAAAGAATATGACAGAGAAATGATACTATCCTCAAACCTTAGGATGCATCTATATTCCCAAACTGAATTCTTAGCAGTGACAATCTGAAAGATGCTGGCTGGGCTGAAAGCTAACTATGCCCTTAAAGATGACACAGAATCCTTGGAATTCTGGATATGAATATATCAACTCTGGAACTAGCTTGGTATTTCTAGCCTCTTGCTCAGACTCCAGTTAATGTTTGAGTATTTCTAGTTCTGTATAGGTACACTTTTCCTTTCCTTAAATTGCTAAGGCCAAAGCTAAGAGTCATCCTAATTAATGGGAAATTCATTTATTAAATCAAAAGCAATCAGTGACCAGAGCTAACGCCTTTTATACGACACAAGATAGCTCTTTTTAGACTGCCATAAGAAATCTGATGGAGGATAGATAAGAAAGCTCTATATTATCTTATTATTACAATAAAAACATTTCTGACATGTGGTCCCTGTACTGAAAAATCCTTGGGATATATACTGGCCGAGGTTTTAAGAATGAACAAACTACCACTGAGCCGTGTACTAATCCTAAACAGTGGTAGAAATAGACAGACATAAGTTTTTCTTTAATAAAGGAAAAGAAAAGGAAAATGTACATATTGGAACTGAAATTCTTGTACTATTCAACTGTTAAAAGGGAAAATGAAATTTATTACATTTCAAGCAGTTGCTTCACAGACTCGCTCACTCTAAGGCAGTCTATAAAATCACACCTTTTTTGTCTGCTATGGAAAAAGCCAATAGTAGAGCTGTGGGGACAGGATACAGGGACAGCAGGGCTGGGACAGGATAGGGGCAGACACAGGGGATGGGCTGGCCCCAACACCACCCTCACTTTGCACTGGAAAACTTTTGCTCCTCATCGTGTGTCATGATTGGATGAGGGGAAAGAACTGTCTACCTATTCTTCAATATCCAAATGTTGAAATGACTTTTTTCCTGTTTCCTTCTTTGGACTGGTGGTTGAGGCATCATTCTAGGTGACCGCGGACTGGGGTTCTGAGCCTTAGAACAAACTTAATGTCTAACCAGAACAGAATAATCACGGCTGTGGTAGGGAGGAGAGTGCTTCCCAGAAACCATTCCACTGAAAGAGACTCAAAACAAAGGCAGGCCTTAGGAGACAGTTTTTCTCAGTAAAATCCTGGGTCTTTGGAAGCTTCTAAATGGTGCTTGTGTTAATTCCACTGGGGGACTCCTGGGCTGAGGATCTTGGAACTCAGCTAGTATGAAGAGGTGTAGGTCAGAGGTCAGACCGTTAACATCCGAGTTCCCTGGGGAAGATTTCTGTCTCTGCACAGGTCAGCTCAGAGCTTAGAACTTGAGGTGCTAGGAATGCATAGAATATTTACACCAAAATGGGAGGAAGGAATGGAAGTCTCTCAGCTCTCAGGCCAATAATGAGACTTTAAAGAACTTTGTCCCTTCTGTAGGAAAAAGTCTGTTAACTGAATGCACTAGGGGTCCTGTCCCTACAGAATAAACCAGAAATAGAAAGTTTTAGCTCTGCACAAGTTTGACTCTTCACCCTTTCTTATTAACAGACTGCTTAATGATCACTGTTAAATGGGCCCACAAGCAAACACATCACAAACACTAAAAAATACTGCCTCTCTTATAAAGAAGGCTTGAAAGGCAGTCATCTGTCCAGAGACTCCAACTTTTTTCAGTCAGACATTTACCACTCAATATCAAGTATTTCCTTCTCTTTCTTCCTCTTTATCACTGCAAGATTTGTAATCTTTTTAGTTTTGATAGGAAAAAAGTCCTTTGATGTCTTAGAGAAACAGCACATACTGTTTTAAATGAATTGCTAGTAATAATTTATTTTCAGAATAAGCAGGAAATAAAGAAATCTAACATCATAATAGAAAGAAAACATTTTTCTGCCCCATTTGATTACAATTGCTAAATGTTAGGCAATATTTGTCAGACCTACTATTGCCTTATTTGAGATTAATTTGGAAAAGTGATCCTTCCTCTCAAAACCTCCAGCCAAAGTAACAGTAATTGAAATGGTAGCTATTATTACATGGCATTTTAGATAGTTTTTCTTTGGTAGCACAGTTAAATACTTGTATTTGACTGCTCTTGGTTTATACGCAAAAGCCTCCTCTATTTTTGTTTCTTTTTCTGAGGAACCAGCTGAAGATATTGACTCCACAGTTTCCAGCAAAAAAATGTTAATGTGCAACCACAAAGCTACACTTCGAAAATGTTTCTTTACTTTTGAACTGATAATTCTGTGGAAAAACTATCCTATTCAATCGCCAAAGAGTATGAGGGGTGCTAATTGTTTTGTTTTTCTTTAAATTTGAGGGCTTCTATTTACTTCTCAAGAGTAAACCCTGAACACTCGTTTTTACAAATAACCAGGTAATTGCACATAGTATGAGTATTTCATCCACTCAGCTTAAGTTCAATGCTGATCAAGGTTGATGTTCAATTTTAATATTATTATTTTCTCTTGGCTGTAACTGAATTACCTCGAAAAGGCTACTATTATGATATCCGTTTACCAATCTGGAAAGTACAGTTTCCTAGAATATCCCAGGCATCTTTAAAAGGAAAAAAAAAAAAAGTATCCTTAACCTCATCTTGCAAATAGTGGCTTAAATTTTACCAAGCAGGTCAAGGACAGGGTCAAGAATAACAGAGGTAAGAAAGAACACTAATGCTTATTTTCAACGTCAACCAGAAAGGATTTTTAAAATCACACAAAAACTCTCTTTTCTCAGTCTTCGTTAAAAACAAACTTGTAACGTGAGAATACGGCTAGCAGCGCACGAGACCTTCCCCCGCTGTGGGTTTCGGAGCTAATAAATGCACCGAAAAGAGAAAAGCATGCAAAGCTGCTCTGCTTACCTGAGGTGAAAGCAGTGCACCAGCTTCGTTACTATTATAACCATCGTCCCCAGGTCCAGAGCAGGGAATGCCCGGGTGACAAGAAGTGAAGAGAGAAGCGAGGATTCTGAGCCTCTGGGAGAATCCTCCCCGGGCGCTGGCTCCCCCGACACGCCTCCTCTCTCTGGCCGGGAAGAGAAGCGGCTCCCGCTCGCGCTTCACCGCGGACCACAGCCCGTCTTAGCTGCTCGGTCGCCCAGCGGCTGCTGGAAGCGCGGGGCCGAGGCGCGGGCACGCGGATCAGGAGCACGAGACCGGCGCCGCTGAGCCGGCAGCGTGGCTGCGGCGGGCGGACGCCCCGGGAGCCCGCGGCTGCGCGGCTGCTGCTGAGGCTCCGACAGCCGCACGTTGCCGGGCGGGGAAGGTCAGCTTTCCAGGAACCAGGATCAGCTGCGGCGCGAGCCCCTCGGCGTCCCCGAGCCCCGTGCGAGCCCAGGCCGGCCGTGAGCGCAGCGCGGCCCCAGCTACTGAGCATGCTCGGCTGCCCCGCGGCTCCGACAGGGGCCTTGCCAGCGGCGACTTCCCTTCCTGATCTGAGAAAGGGAGATGGGAGAAGTGGGCAGAGGGTGAGATTTAGTGGAGGTAATTTCTTGAACAGGGAGATGTCTTCCTCCCCACCCTGCCCCTGGCGGGGTGGGGGGTGGGGAGAAAAAGAAAGAAGAACACATTGCACTGCATTTAGCAAATATTTTTGATTGATAGGCTGAAGACGTTTGGAAGCTATCAGTAATGTTTAGCCTTTAACTCTCTCCCTGCACAACTAAGTTGCCTCTGGGGTCAAGTACGTGGTCTAGACAGTGAAAGGGTTTTAATCCTAGCAAATCACCGTCGCTTAAGGATTAGGTGTGGAATTGCCTATATTTCAAAGTCTAGGCAACATGCCATGAATTAATTGATCTCTCCACAAGTGCAATCTGCCTATAGTTACTATTTTATTTTTTAAAAAAATCCTTTATAAGATACTTGTGCAGTTTTTGAAAGGTAGACGTTGAGCTATATTACAACAACATACATTTTGATTTAAATCTTTCAGATGGCAGGCTCAGTGAAAGCAGGGAATGTTGCTTATTTGTCAACTGGAAACCCAAATCCTTTCTCCAGGACCTGGTAAAAGGCAAGTGCTGGTAAATGCTTGTGTGAGAATGAATTGTGAGTTTGTTAATATGTAAAGGGCACTTACATGAGGAAGGCTGAAGTTCTTGAATTTGATATGAGCCTGAATTCTCACTTGACCTCAGCTTTGCATTTTTGGGCCCCATGACACTAAATTTTTGTCATAAGTGTCCAATGGATAAGCAAATTGGCTTTTAAATAGGATTTTCATTTTTGCCCCCTTGTCCTCTTTCAGTTCTCTACAATGCTCTATGCCAAGATGAGCCAAATCCACAGCCAGTTCTCTCCGCTGCTGTTGAAACCAGGGACATTGACTCTGCATGGTTTGCAGATAACACAATTTCATTTTTAAAAACTTCTAGCCAGTCAATTCTGCCAAGTCTGTGGAGGGTGAATCCAAGATTTCATGGCTGAAATGAAGCTTCAGCCTGAAAGCTGGGCCTGTGAGAGTCCATATTGGAAACACGGGTGAGCTGGGAGTGTTTCTTCAATCCTTACCAGTGCTGCCTTGGCCCATTGATCAGATCCTTAGGTCAAGAAAGTTCTTTCTCTCTCTTTCTATCTCTCTTCCTCTCTCTCCTTCTCTTCCTCCATCATCTGACTACCTTTCCCGCTCCCTTTAAGACTCAGGTGCTGCCTGAGGGCTTCTGGAGTCCAGAGCCCTTCCTGGCCCCACTCCAGAGGTACTGTTATCACAACACTTTCTAGATTGTCTTCAGCTAAGTCAGGCCCCACCACCACCACCAGCTGTGAGTTTGTTAAGACTAGAGACAGCACTGGCTGTTTGCATGTTTACAATTGTGTACATCTGCACAATGTCTGGTTTTCACGTGTTTTCAGTTTAGATTAAGGCACAGGCGAGAGTCCTTCAAATTGTAGTGGCCAATCAGAAAATTGATGGAGTTAATCTAGAGACACTTCCTAGGGGAAGGGATTCCAGATGGAAAAATAAAAATTCCAATACAACCAAATCAAATGTTTCAGGATTGGAGAGGAAGATGCAGACCTTTCTGTACAGACCTGATAAGGGCAGATAATCAGGGTGGAGCTGTTTGATAGTCCTTAATCCCTGATTCTCTATCCTGAATAGAAGTAGAAGTAGAAGAATAAGCACCTCTGCCCTTTGGATACACTCATTTTATCTCATAGCACAGATTCCTTATACCGTCTCCCTCATTCACCCCCTACAATTTTTTGTTGTTGTTGTTCTTCATTAATTGCAGTAAAACTGGTTCTCAAAGCTTCCCCAGGCTACCCAAATCATCAAAGCCAAGATTTTCTCAGTTTTGATGATAAAATCATAGCTATCATTTCGTTGACACCTTATTCTCTGCCAGGCACAGCTAAATTCTTTACAAACATCACATTTCATTGCTACAGGAAGCATCTTTTCTTAGCATTTATCACAATTTTACATTTTGAATTTATAGCATATAATAATATGTTTGCTGATGTCAAAAGAAAATAGGCACAAACAGTAATTGGTAATGGATAAGGATAGAATATTATCATGTCTGATGATGAATCCAAGGCTCTGAGAGCTCAAGATAACAGAGTTAACAGGTGGAGCTGCGTTTGAAGTCCGTGCTGTGAAGTCTCAAAAGTTCACCTGTGCTGAATCAGCAGAGATTGCAGCTGCTTCTCAGTTGCCCTCACACCCTATTAAGACAGCAGAGCCCAGCAGGGAGAAGAAAGACTCCACCTTGAGCAGATCAGTCTTGTAAAGAAGCGAACATTGTACCAAGTGAAGAGCAGAGATGGAAAACCTGGGTCTTTGGTGAGCATCATTGAATTGACCTGTACCCAACTGCCTACCTTACCTCACCTCTTATAATGCGTATTGTATCAGTTCAATCTGTTTAAAGCCACTTTATTTTTTGTATATATATTTGTATTTTATTGAAGTACAGTCAGTTTATAATGTGTCAATTTCTCGTGTACAGTATAATGCTTCAGTCATACATGAACATACATATATTTGTTTTCATATTCTTTTTCACCATAAGTTACTACAAGATACTGAATATATTTCCTGTGCTATATAGTATAATCTTGTTTATTTATGTTACATATATTAGTTAGTATCTGCAAATCTCAAACTTCCAATTTATCCTTTACCACCCTCTCCCCACCGGTAATCTTAAGTTTGTTTTCTATGTCTGTGAGTCTGTTTCTGTTTTGTAAATAAATTCATTTGTCTTTTTTTTTTTCAGATTCCACATATAAGTGATATACGATAT